TGTGTGTGTGTGTGTGTGTGTGTGTGTGTGTGTGTGTGTGTGTGTGTGTGTACAGATGAAGGTATCATTGATGAGTGGGGACTTTGGGATGTCTGTGTGTGGTCTGTCTTTGTTTTTTTCTTGTTTTTTATGTGTTACGTGTGCAGATATGTACATGACAAGTGTGTGGTTGTTTGTGTACATGTATGTGTTATGACGTGATGAAAGCAGCTGATCCTCAATTTTTTTTCATTCAAAGTTATTGCTATCATCCTAAAGCTTGTTCAATTGTCTTGCTTTTGATGAAAAAAATATTCATTATCTTGAATAGAAGTTGAAATAGTTGCAATTGAAGCACATGGGGGGGAGGGAGGGCTTGTCGTCTGGTATGAGAGGTAAAATTAGCTAGAAAATGGCTGCCAAAGTTTGTGAACTGAAAATGAACATTGTTTGTACTTTTCATCAAAGTTTTTCAGTAAAATTCACACAGAACTGTATTCTGGATGGAAAAGGTGTTGAGCAAAAGTAAAACATTCCAGTGAAATTGCCCAATGGCCATATAAATGTCAGTAGTTAAAAATAGATCAAATCTTTTGTTTATTCAAATATCAGCTTAAGTCATTTCTGTTTCTCTGGGTTTTTTTTTAGATTAATAAGATTTTTATTTCAGAGCACAGTGCACTGTTTATGTGTTGCTATTGTGTTTGTAAAGCGTCCAGAACCTGTGTTCTTCCATTGGGGCTGAGCACTGTAGTGATGTCATGTACATGTATGGGTATTATTTTGATGAGCGCCTGATTTCACCACGATGCCTGACATTTGGATAACTGACACCTGCACTCTCAACTGTACTTTCCTTTCCTCACAGGTGACCATATGTGGCCAAGTGTTGGTGTCCAACCGCCTGTCTCAGCCCGTGACCTTGAAGTTGTGCCACGCCCCGTCTTCCACACCTCTGTCTTTCTCCCCGCCTGTCTCCGCCCCCAGCATTACCACAGGCAGCATCGACGTCAGCACTTCCTCTTTCTCCTCCTCCGGTAAGTTCTTAGGTTCTTGTTGTTGACTTAGCTACGCTCTCAGCGAACACACACATGTTGAAACACACAGAAGTGGGTGGTTGGCAAGTGCTCTTGTGTGGTTTGCTCCTTCCTTCCTATCAAACATCTATCGTCCTGGTCTCTCCTCCGTCTTTTTTTGTGTTTGTTACTCCCTCGAAACACCTTTATTCTTCGGCACTTATATGACCTCATTGTGTTGTAAGGGCCCTAAAACTTTTACTAAAACTTTTTAAAACGCACATAGCGAACACAGAGATAAAGAACAAGCACATGTTGAAGCACACACTTTACGAACACAGAAATAGGGTACACACACATAGCTAAACACGCACATAGAGAACACAGAAATAGGGTACATACACATAGCTAAACACGCACATAGAGAACACAGAAATAGGGTACACACACATAGCTAAACACGCACATAGAGAACACAGAAATAGGGTACACACACATAGAGAACACACACATAGAGAACACAGAAATAGGGTACACACACATAGCTAAACACACACATAGAGAACACAGAAATAGGGTACACACACATAGCGAACACAGAAATAGGGTACACACACACATAGCTAAACACGCACATAGCGAACACAGGAATAGGGTACACACACATAGCGAACACAGAAATAGGGTACACACACATAGCGAACACAGAAATAGGGTACACACACA